CACTTATTCCTGCGGATCGTCGTCGATCTCACAAGCGAAGGGAACCGTGAGTTCTTTCGGCGACAGACCTTACGGTGTAATGACGATATCAAAAAATGCTAAATGTACATTACGTAATGGTGCCGTTAAAAAGATCTCATTAAAATCATGCAGTCGTAAAGAGGCATGCAATTATAATCGGATTGAATTATGAATCTAATTAGAATATATTAAATATGTAAGAGTAAGAATTCATAATTAATCCAGTTACAAAAGTTGACTTTCATTTTGATTTCTTCGTTTATTTTCATGTAAAAATATCGGTTTTATATAGCCTTTTAAATCAGCAAAATCTTGACAGTTATCACTCCGATGTGATTATTCGAATGAAAAATTGTATTGGATATCTAAGTATTTCCATAAAAGAGAAGTAAAGAAGATGAAAGTACGTTTAATCACTTTTTTCTTCGCGCATTTTGCATTTTAATCACGCGAATCTGATCGCGTAACTGTCATAAATTTCATCTCTACAAGAGGCTGCGACGTGTGAGATCGAAGGATAACGCCTTTAAAAAACGGCCACCTCGCTATCAGACGTATATTTTGGAAAGTTAGATCGATGAATGCTATAGGATTGCTTCTTTTTTTTTTTTACAGAAGTATACGTATATGTATGTACGACCTAGAATTCAAGCGACCCAAAAACATCATGTTTGTTAATATCATAGACTAGTCATTGGACAGGGAAATTGAGCAAAAAAAATACACAATCGATTTCGCTGTAACATTGATTTGAACAAAATACTTGACGTAACGAGGAACTATAGCTTCATTAGACGCTCATTTATTAGTTGCTACAAAAATATCGTTTTATTCGAAAATTGATTGATGAAGCGCTATGTAAGCCAAGTATCAAGTGTGTTACGCTGACATTTCACCGGATAGATCGAAAGGCTCGATATAAGAAAGGTCTTGAATACAGTATTTTCAAAATTATTTTTTCCTCGAGAGAGATTCTAGTTCGAGAGTCTAACAGTATGAATAATTATAAATTCCTTTTTTTTATTTCAACTTTTTTATTTTCTACTAGTGTCAATAAGATTCAGATGTATTTTTTACGGTAAAATAGAAGATGAGGTAACATAATGACATCATATATAATAATTAAATATTCAAAAAATAAATCACAAATAATTTTAATATAGATAATGTTAGAATTGCATGCATAGTATTAAAATTTAGTTACGTAGCAAAAGTTGAAATACATCAGAACTTGTTTAAATTTATTTGTTTATTAAACAAATAAATTCAACGATACATAGATCGAAGAGATAAAAATATTTATTTCTATAATTAAAACTGAAAAAAATTTATATTTCAATATAAAATTGATGTTAATACTTTAAAGTAGAATCGCGCTCTTTAAACGTTTGCATATATATTCTTTTGTGTCGCACTCCTATTTTACAATCTATATTATCAAAATCTTTCATACATCTCAATAGCCGAATTCGGCTGTTAATTATGTGATCGTCTTAATTATGTATAGCGAGATGTCGTATCGGTGAAAGTACTTATTGATTGACAAATCGAAAGTAAGTTTCTACTTGGCAGCTATTCGGCCATCGATTGGAGTTATTAATGAGGACGTGAATATTTAAGTATTTACGATGTATATGCATATTACACCCGCATTACAAAAACGTCCGACAAACTGCGTCAAAATGGACAAATTATTTATGCGTCTTCGTGTCGCAAGAGAAAGAGAGCGTGAGAGCAAGAGGCAGAGAGAAGAAGAAAAGGAAAGAGGCGAATTTTCTATGGTTCGTTTCTGTGTCGTAGTATAAACGAAGACGAGATGATTCGAGAGAGCGCGAACCCGGATCTCAATTTCGATGAATTTCGGCTCCAGATTCGAATTATTAGGATGCGCCGCGCCAAATCACGCGCGAGTTCGATGTATCGAAGTTTGATTTGTGCGCGATACTCGAGTAATCTGCGTAATTCAATGAAGGAGAAAGTAGTAACATTAATGTATAAACGTGAAAGTGTGCGTACGAGCCGGGAGGACACATTTGCAAAATAATATTTTGACGGTCCGACTGGCGCTTATCCGTGGAAATCGAACGCACCGTGAATTTTCGGCGTTTCTCGATACACGTATACTACCTCTCGCACTCGCACTTTCTCCCGCCGCTCGGCGCTGTTAATCCTTCCCTTCGCAATTGCTGTTATTATTTTTATTCGCCGCTTTAACAGCCGCTAAAGTAATATAGTACGCAAACTTCGAAAGTGGAAAGTACAAAATCTTTTACAAAGTTCGTCGCGACTGCGAATGCCTGTATTATTTTTTCGCATGTATGTGCAAAAATAATCAAAATCCTCGTAGACGCTGAAAAAATCTCATATTTTTACATTAACCAAATCAATACAAATATATAATACTTGATATTTCTTCCTCGCTGTAATTTTTATAATATACTTGGTTGATTAAATTATAACCAACACGTTTATGAAAAATGAAATTTATAATTACTAAAATCATATCAATACTGTGTTAATTTACATTAAATAACATTTCTAATAAAAAATTTCATGTTTACGTTTTGTCGTTATGTAGAATATTGTTTAGTCGTTAATATGACTAAACTGCCTCTTGTTTTTTAGAAATATTGGTATATGTAAAATTGATTTTTCTCGTGAAATGTTTTATGCATTATTAAACACTATTACAGTTTAATTGAACAGCTCATTTATTAATAGAAAGTGGAAAAAAATAGTAAATAAAAACTACGATTTAAATTTTTTTTTAAATTAATGTAATTTTGATAGATTAAAAATTTTTTATTTCATTCAAATCAATATTTAGCAATTGTTTCGCGCAGAAAACATATTTATCTCTTACGACTTACGATTGTAGCTCTGGAAGCTGTGTTCTTGAGAATTGATTGCGGATGAAAAATTATCGCGTAAATTTGACAGGCGTATCAAATTGAAGTTTTTACGGTATAATTTTAGACATGAATAGAGCGTGTAATTTGCACGCGCGCTCGTTATTCTTACAAAACATTTACGCTGAATTGCGAAGCAAGTTTTTAGTTAGATCATCGGAGACTAAATACGGGAAATCCGTAATGCGTTCATCACGTTCGTCTCTCTCTTTCTCTTTCTCTCGAGACTCGAATTCCATAAAGATTTTTGCGATGACACGCACGTATGACTCATAAAATTTGACCGCAACAAGATATATGTATTCAATAGTTCAGACATTATTTTATTATGAATATATTAATCGATTGTCATCCATTACACATATTTCGTTATATATTTCTTCGTGTTACGTTTGACATGACAATAATTTTTCATAATTGATTAATTAATATAATTAATTATTAATATTAATTATTATTATTATTATTTATCATTATTATAAATTGATGATTGATTCGATTTATTTAATTTTTTTAACGACTGTATATAGAGTTAATGTATAAAGAGTTAAGAGAATTAAATTTAAATGAATTGTCAATACTGCTGTTATGCTGATTTCGTCTGATTACATAAAAGCTGAATTGATATAGTATATGACACTTGATTTAAATTAGAATAGAAGCGTAATCGCAAATCATCAGCGGTAATGCCAGTGGAATTTCGCAAATATCGGAATACAGTTCTGTCTTTCACGCCCGCGTTTGCCAACGGTGGCCCTGACCTGACCTAATCGAGCGAGATGACATCATTGATAGAAGGATGTGTTAGCACTTACACTGGCGCCCGAACAAATAAGCGTTGATTTTTTTATATAATATATGTATATTCGAGCAGCTGAATAATTTTCATATAAAATGCTCAAACAATAAAAATCACACAATCCTTGAACGCGATTATTCCATCGATAGAGAATAACGAAACGAAACGAAAGTGTTCCCATTTACACGCCTCGCTATCGATATCTGCCATTCCACGCGCTTATGCAATATTGGAGGAAACATATAAGGTGTATCAAAAATCATATCTTATTTTTGAATCACTTAGAACTACCATTTGAATAATCAATTTGAGATGTCGCATTATGTTGCGTCTGAGGTAGGTATGGTCTGCACATATTGCGAGATATTGAGATAACATCAACACGATATTTAGATTATATGTTAAGATTATATATAAGTATGTGTGTAAATTTACATGTCGCAAAATGCTAATCTTACAGCTTATATCAGTTATTAACTTTCAATAGAGATATAGAGAGAAAGAAAGAGAGAGAGGTGGTTTTTTGATTTAAAAAAACCTGAAATATCAAATGGTATTCCAAAAAGAAACCATGACATTTAAATGATTTAAATTATTTTTTTTACAAGAACATGTGAGCCCGCAATCTTTTTATATCGAACATTAACCGTGTAATCGCATATGCAAAGGAAAAAGAAAAGAAAAACGTAACACGTGTATAAATTTTTATCTTATTAGCGTCGCGCCAAAGATGCAGATGCACTATGAATGAATTATATTCCTACGCACAAAAATAATGCAACTCTCAACCTTATTCCACACGTCATCCACGTCATCCACGCGTATGCAATTTTATAACTATAATCCCCCGTCGTTCTGTTCCTCCGCATATCGTATAATAGTTGCTAAAACAGGTAAATAACAGGAGGTGTAATAAAATTATAATAAAATATCCTTTAAACACAATTTTATATCGTCACATTCTTAAAATGATTCACCGAATATACCATGTGTGTTAAAAAAAGCAAGCAAAAGTTTACACAACTTTTATATAGCATTTTATACGATTCGAGATATTTTAGAAGAACCGGTCTGCCGGTCAGTGCCGGTATGCAAAAATCTTTTTTTTTTTTCTTCTCGTATAGGTATATTGTGCGATTCGCACAATGACATCAACTGATGTTGATGGAATGGATGGAATCTTATTTATTTATTGGCCATCCAGACATAGAAATCGCGTCATAGAAATCGAAATAATGAATTCGTTTAATGCATTAGTTTTCTTCCTACAGATTTTCACGATGAGGCCACGGCTAGAAATGCTACTATTTATAGTAGCGTTAGCTACGCATACACGTGGACTCCCCTACGGAGCCTTATTGCCACCTGAACTGCAGACACGTCAGTATATACGCAATTGCAGAATTTATGTAACACGTATTTTTTGTCGAGAGAAGGGAGTTTTGCATTCTCTCTATAGAAATTTTGTATTTTAATTTAATGATTTAATTATATTAAATTTTTTATATGTCAGAAATACTTTAGTTAAGCGACATTTCAGAAGATCAAATCGCCTGGTATGACAATGGTGCTTCCCAAATTCAACAAAACAGCGTGTTTCCTAGTTATGTAGAAAACATTGTTCCGCAACAGACTGGTCAAACGCAATTTAATTTGGATCAATCTCAGCAAAGTAAGGCTCTATTTTGAAACATGTTGAATTATTTTACGTAATTTTATAATGAGAAATTAAAACGTATCTTATTATTATATAATGTCGTTGCGAAGCAGACACATTTAAAGGATACGAAGCGCATAGACCATCGGAATCGCAGAAGCAATACAATCCCGAATATGTGTATCAGTCTTCCGATCAATCCTATCCCAATGCTGTAGATGGTTTCACTGTCAGTTGCAGCGGTCAAAATCAAATCTGTGTAGCCAAAAGCTTGTGCATCGACGGATACGTGCATCCCTTGAAACAAGGCTTTATTCGGCCAGGACAAGTGAGACCATTTCATTCATCATTATTCCTTACACGACTGAACTAAAATACAGTTTACACTTCATGATTTAACAATTCATGTATGTAACGTTTTACACGTATGTATGTAGGTGCAAGAGTGCAAGTTGAGCCGTGAAACGTGTTGTACCGTGCGATACGATTTAAATAGCTCGCCGTACGGCAATCAAATTAATACGGTGCTAAAACCTCCTAACCAATATCCAGAACCAAGTCTGGAGAACGATCAGAGATACGTCCCGTACGGAGAAAATAATCAAGCGGATGTTGCTGAATTGAAGCCCGCGGAAAATAATGCGGAATTGCAGACCGCGCAAAACGATAAACACGTGATCGAATCTACTAATCCGATTCATCTCAGCAATACACCGACTGAAGAGGATCCGATTGATTACAATCAAATACCTGCCGATACAAATCAACAGGAACAATACCAAACAGGTATGCAACAATTTATCAGTTATCCTTTATATCATATTATAATTTTCTGTCAAAATTATAAAAATAATGTATATAACAATTCAAAGAACGCGTTATGTATATTTATTTGTATATTAATTATAATTTGTGTATGAATTAATATTGCAGGCGATGCTAGTGCTGGCGAGCCAGTTTTTCCTCCACTCAGGCCAGCTCCTACGAGCTCCAATTCTGCGGTCTTCCAGTTTCCGGTTCAAGCCGGATGCGCGGCTGCCTTACTCTGCGTAGAAGAGCAGTACTGTACGTTGGAAGGAGTAATTAGCCAACAACCAGTCACGCTTACCAGCAAACAACTTTTACGACGTGTTCCATTAAGCGTAAGATATGGATTGCTAAAAGAAAAATATTTTAACTGTCAATGATGATTAAAAGCACTCTTTCGAAATTAATTGTATTCTTTACTGATGATGGAAATTTTGTCCACTGGCGCAATAAAAATATACGAAACAAAGAAAAATAAATAAAAGTTTAAGAAATAAAATTTGTCTCGTAATAAAACAGATCGTTCATTTTGCAGAGCTGCAGAAATTCCGAGACCGGAGTGGTCGGCAAGTGTTGCCGCGACCCGAATTACGTGGATCCGTGGCCGACGGGTAATCTACCAGCCAATTATACCGGTGGCTTCGACGAGCAGGGCTTTCCATCGTTTCTGAACATTGCGAAGGTAACACCAAAGAAGCCGGTTACACCATTACCTATCAAGACTACTCCTAAGCCACCACCGCCGCCGCCGCCGCCGATTCACGAGCAACAGCAACCCACGAACGTTGTGCCTCTGGAGCCAGACTTTTCTGACTTGATACCGCAACGTGTGATACCAATTTCTACCCAGGTTCCTATAATCCCGATTAGTACTCCCACGCCCTTCATCAAGAATCCATACGACCCCGTTTCAACCGATCAGCGTATCATTCCCTTCGTGCCGCAATTGCCGAATAATCCATGCGGAGTGAGAAATTATGTAAGTATTCGAAATAATCTGCAAAAGTAATTTTGTTACAAGTATTTGTGGATTATAACATTTGAAAACTGAAGAGTCCAGCGCTACTTATATAAATGCTAATATTACGAAAGGATATATATATATTTATATCAGTAACTTGAGAAATTGTATTTTGATATGCTAAAAGGAGCAACGTCCAGCCGGCTTCAGGATAACCGATGCGGCTTTCGGTGAGATCCCGTGGCAAGCGATGGTTCTGTGGTCGGAAGAACGTAAGATCTTGTGTTCCGGCGCGCTGGTATCTCCGGATGTCGTTCTCACAGCTGCCAGTTGCGTAAATAGGTAAAACTCACTTCTAGACAATTTGCAACAAAGCTCAGAGAATTAAATTTTAATTTATAATTTATCCATATATATTATGCACAGCATTTTTATACATTAAAGATGTGCATCCTGATTCTTCAAAAGTTATTTTTATTACATGATATATATATATAAAGTTATAAATAAAATCAAGTGTCTCTCTATCTCTTTAAATCCGATGTCGTCAATTAGGTAATATTAAAAAAAAAAGAAAACTTGTGATTAAAAATATTTGAATTACATTCAGATTTGCACCCAACGAATTATCCGTGAAACTCGGAGAATGGAAATTGGGTTACGAACTTGCATACGAGGAACCACTCCCGTTCGAAATTATCCCAGTACGAACGATCAAGTATCATCCTGGATTCGTGCAAGGATTCTCCAGCAATGATACTGCCGTGTTACTCCTGGAACATCCCACGACTTTTAATTTACACATCAATACGTTGTGCCTTCCTGACGATTATCAAGTGCAAGAACCATCGCAATGCATAGTGACGGGATGGGGCAAGTCAATATTACAAGGTACATGTGTTTACGTTTCTATCGTTCGAGAGGATCTCTTTAGAGATTTACTTAGCAGATGAGGAGACAGACAAGTACATATACAAATGCAATATGAATTTAGCGCATTACGCTGGAGCCATCATGCACATGGTTGACGTGGATCTTCTGTCGCGCGATGTTTGTCAAAATCGCGTTTTGGGCGCAGAATCTCACATCAATATCGCGCATAACGTAATCTGTGGTAAAGCACATAACGACAATAACATGTGTCAAGCCGATATCGGAGCTCCGTTAGCTTGCTACGATGGCAAGGGAGCATATCATATTGCCGGAATTTACAGTCAAGACACTGGATGCTTACCTACAAACCAGGTATGTATGATTTATCACTCCCAATTAAGACAATTTTTCTTTTGCCGCGATTACGAGGTAATAATTTCACGTGCAAATTAATTTCAAACTATAATTCGCACACGCATACGCATATATTTATAAATAATTAAATTTCCATTTTTTGAAGATTATTCGAATTATGTTGAATTATAATTTTTTGTTATAATAGAGATAATATAATAGAAATTAGGAAAAATCATATCGCTTTTTACATAGACAATAAAAAAAGTCATTGTTTCTTCTTGAACGCATTTATGCATGAACAATTATATTTCCATTTTTTACATGTTATAATCCTATTATCTTTACGCAGAATTTTATGAATTTTTTATATACCTCTTAGGTGGCGACATTTTCTCCAATTGACGTTACCTGGCTGAAACAGATAATGTCAGAACCTAATGTAGAAACCGCACCATCCAATATCGATGATGGTTACGACTATCGAAAGAGTAACTTACCAGCGGGAAATGAATATCTGCCGCCAGTATAAAAACTACAAATGCAGTATATATTTATACTGTTATGTAACATATTTTTTTAATACTCATGAATGTTAAAACGGACAACAGACGCATTCATATAATCGAATTAACGTAATGCTGCCGAAAATAATTAGTGGTTTTAATAGATTGTATGCTAAGTCGTGAGAGAGAAAAAAAGGGCGTTACAATTATCGGAAATAATTAGAAATAATGAATAGCGTTATATTACGTTGCCGATATATTCAAAGTATGCTAAAATATTTTATGCTACATTTTTGGATATTATTATTCGAAATTATTATTATTAATCTTACAAAACTCCTATATAATAATAAATACTTACTGCTAGAATTGTTTCGCATAATAAACTCAATATGAGTAAAATCAAATTATTATTCAGTATCGGAATAAGACAGATCAGAGCAATTGTATGACAATAAAAATAAATACATAAACTCCTAGATTTTAGACGCAAACGTATTTATTTACCTGATGCAATGCAAAAATTTTATACATATATAAGAAAATCGTATAAATGATAAAATTAAGTCATATGAAAATTTGTCGGAAAAATTTATATTACATCAATAAATATTTGTTAAGAAAAATATTAAAAGAATTATTACAATTAATTTATTAATAAATTAATAATTTTATTAATTTATTAATAAAAGATACACACCTTTTTAATTTGTATTCCTGAACAACGTTTCTATTAGTAGTTATATAATTGCTTTTTAAGCGTATAAATTGCCAGTAAATAAAAAAAAACAAATAATTGTTTTTATTTTCGGATTAACATATTTATTTTTCTTTTGAAATGTAATATCAGTGTATTATAATCAAAATAAGACAAATCAATATTACAAGGTATGTGTATTCACATTTTTTCTGTTTCAAAAAATTTTTTTATTTAAAATATCTATAATTAGTAAAATCAAAAATATAAATGTAAATATAATAAATTTGTTATATTATACGCTCTGATACTGTTATGCCTTATCATGACATCATGCTGCCAAAATTATACCATTTGGATACAAAACCAAGATTCAAATTATTAAACACATTGTACGAGTTAAATCAATGTTAAATTGATTTTTCCACGGAATATGCTATCACATCTACGCTATTGATTGTTAAATTTAAAGTCAAGATTTTTTGGTGCTTGTTTGTAAATCAAATATATATGATTTATGATTGTTACAGAAAACCAGAGAAGAGAAAAATTATCATAATTTTATAAAAAATAAAATTATTCTTTATTCGTCCTTCATTATTCGACAGTGTATTTATTAAAAATATAACTGTTGTCTTTTAAAATGCATAATATGTATTAAATAAAGAACAATAAATGCGTCTATTTAAACTTAATGTGATTAATTCCTTTCTTTGAATATAATGAACTGTGATTATTTCCACTCATTTTCAACAATAAACGCACTATGAATATTACTACGATGATAATAATTATTATACAAAATAGAAGAAAGATAAGCACGTCGATGAGATATAATTGAAACCAGGTCAAATCCATTGCGGGCGATCGTAAAGCATCACTGCCATGTTTAATTATATATTCAGTCCAATAAATGGCAGTGTCAAGTGCGTTCATCGGTCGATCGAGGAATTTTTCAGACAGATTTCGAGCAGATTCTCTGAAACAAAGAAATTCCGAAAAATGTACAATTTAATAACAAGTAAAACATTTATAACAACTTAAAAATAATTATGAATTATATATTGCGTGTATACACCTGCAAATGCATAAATATACATATATTCTTTCTCCTCTTCGTCTGTATAAACAATTTATATTGAATTTTATTAAATGAAAAAGATTGGGATAGTATATGCACACCTGTATATAGGATCCCATAAGACTGCGTTTAAGGCCGCGTCCATGTCTTTTTCCGTCATTTTATGAAGATCTAATTTCACGGCACTGTTTCTGGCAACGACTACATCAATATTTATAAATTGATCGGCAAAGAGTGGTATACCGATCATTGGGACGCCGTATGTTATCGCTTCCTGCGTGCCCATGAGTCCGCCATGTGTGATGAAGGCTCTTATCTTAGGATGCTCTATGACAACATGTTGTATTACTTACATGTTGGACAATTTTATATTTTCTACAAAATAATCTCCCTTACTCATTATTGTAATCTGCGGCATCCAAGATGACGTGTAAACATTTTTGGGTAAACCGGGTGGCAATTTCTCCGGTCTCGGTACCTTCATTAAAACGCGCACGGGTGCTATTTTGCCTAAGGAAGCGTACATTATATTCAGAAATTCACGAGGAAACGTCTCGATCATTACCATCGAGCCGAAAGTGAAATAGACGAAACCGTCTTTGCCATCGTTTATCCACTTCTCCAAATCCTGCGAAAAAATTATTGACGCGAAATTAATTGATGTATGCGTACGTACATATTTGTTCTTTACGCTATACTTTTACATTATTATTTATATCGCATGAATAATAATAAAAATAGAAAAACGAGATAATATTCTCTATCACTTAAGTTTATCTCAACTCATATGTTATCAGTAACTTTTCTTCTTTCGAAACATTGATGACAAGTCAACAGGTTGATCCTTGAAGTTCCATTTTTCGAAATGTACAAATATAAAAACTGTGTGAAAGAATTCACATTTCACTCGTCCTTTAATGCGTTTTTTTAAATGAAATATTAATTGTTTAATATTCCCTTAATATTTCCCTTTAATATTTTCCCGAACGATATCGTGCGATTGTGTGTCACATGGATAAAGTGGAAACGATTCTTCTCTAACGATATAGAGCGAAAGAACCGACTTACAGGTTGCAACGTTAAGCCTTCATCCTGGACATGCAGTCCCCCTACGTCCACGGCGGCAGGTGTCATTGGTTGGATCCCATGTAGAGAGATGTGGGAATTGATGAGGATCAACGCCACCTTGGACTCCAGTTCCCGTACACCCGGCATGTCAGGTCCAAAGTTCTTTCTTATTATCTCATTTTGCGCTCTCGTGAAATAATTGAAGTACAACGTATTATATAGCGTGTGCACCATATTGTATAAACGTTGCCAGAAATTCATGGGACTAGCGAGTCTTACACAATTGTTCGGGACGAAAGCCAAACTTTCTGGTTGAGCGATTATTGATGGTAGCCATGGATATAACGTCGCTGAACTGACTCCGATCAGAGGGATGTTCCACAAGTGCGCGAAGATTCCGAAACAGTGAGCACCAAAGAGCTAATATAAGACACACATCTTAAAAACTTTCTGTCTTAAAACATAAAAACATTTATTATATACAAAATATATAAGGCAACTTGCGATCAAAGATTTAATAATCGATAGTTTTCAATATATTACATAATATTGTCATATCAGTAGTGATCATCTTTATCATATATCAATCGTTTGACATGTAATATAATGATTACAGCAATTCAATAAATTACAAATTACAATAAGTAATCGCACATAATAATAGTTTATATCTTATTTAGTTTTAGAAATAATTTTTTTTCAGCAAGCGACACAGACAGTGTTACATAGAGAATCATATTAAAATTAAATCGATGTGTGATTGAAAGAAATTTTTCACTTTTCTGGTTTTTACTGTAGAAAAAGTTACACAATAATTGATATACCCTGTATGTGTACATAAATAAATAACCTATATATACATTTTAGACGCATTTACAATATTACAGATACGTATGAAATACATAATTTACATATTTAACATATATCGAATATATATAATCATATGTATCTGATATATAACGTAAATTATGTTAAATTATCCATAGCGCGGACATTTATCGGTATTAAACATGTATTTAATACATAATTTATATGTGTTACTATGTATCTGCTATATAGCAACATTTCAAATTTTATGTATCTGAAATCTAAAATACCGTACGGGAATAGAATATAGTACTAAAAAAAATTATATTTTTTGAGAGAAAAAATTAAAAAGTAGACATTTATATATTCTTTTTGATGTTAATAAAAAGACTTTTACTTATGTATATGAATTGAAGAAAGGAATATATACGGACACTGTATATCACGTACTTCCATAAATACCGCATCATAAGGTGGATCTTTCGGTGGATTACGCGTCAGCTCTTGTATCGCCGGATTTTCTAAATACATGCAAACATCATTGCCTGCCATTATTGAAATAGCATGTACTGGATTCGTGCTCAACACAACTTGCATGACTTCGTACGACACATTGTTTATTAATGTCATAGGCGGTGCAAGCTTCACAATATCGTTGTAATTCGGATAAGGTTTTTTTAATGGAAAGGGACTGATTACGTCGACCTGATGACCCTTCCTAGCCAAACCCTTCATCAATTGTTCGAACATAATAAAGTGGCTTTTACTGTGATAGGGGAAAAGCCCGAGCAAACGATATCCATGACATGTCGATAAGCAGAACAACCAAAGAAATATGACTTTTAACATCTGCATTTTCACTCACTCACAATTCGGTGTGAACACTTGAAATATCAGAAATAATTGATGGTATGAACTGTTTTCTTGGGAAAAATTTCTATTGAAATTTGAAATTATTCGGATTCTATTTTATTATATTTTATTTAATTATTTATTTAAACAATAATTTTATAGTTCCGTAATTAAAAAATTTAATTATATTTTAAACACTCTTTTAATAAATAAATTGATTATTATTCTATGCAGTATATTTTTAATGTGCAATAATACACATCTACTAACTTGCTGAACACATATTATAAGACTGATATTGAGTTCAAGGAAACGCTATTTAGCGCTGACAGCATCATTATGTCTCTGTTACTCGCTAAAAGTGAAACAAGTGTGGAGCACGCTCATAGCACTAAAAGCGCGCCCCTGAACCCAGCCATTAAATACGAATAATCATCTATATTTATATAGTGGGGATGAGTTTCGTTTTAATAAGAGGCATTCCTATACTTATCTATATTTACTTGCTTTAGTATGAAATTTATAAATGTTGCATGCGATACGATTATTCTGAATAATCAGTTGTAATGTCATTCTGATTAATGAATCATCTCATACTATCTAGAGAAAGTCTTAAACTTCAATTTTTGTAATGTATTTCATTATTACAATGACAAGGGAAAGAGTTAATGATGCGCTTTCTCTACAGCTTTTTATAAATTTAATATTTTAATTTAAAAATCATAATAAATTTGTGATGTTTGTAAAGGACTAGTTTCTTCCATTTTTTAAAATAGTGGTTGATTAATTTATATGTATAATATGCAGCTAGCAAATTAAATTTATCATAATATTTTTATATTTTTGAAACATTATTTTATTGTTACTAACTTATTAAAGCTCTTTGTAATTCAATGTTTCTCTACATTGTTGTATTTATCATTAGTCTAACAAATTTTTTTATAACTTAATAATTTCAAAAGTACAAATTTTTAAATTTGTATTCTGCAATAGAATATATCTATTAAGAGTAATATATAACGTTGTTTTTATGCATCTTAATTGCCAATGAATAAAAAGAGCAAAATGTTTTTGGTTTCAAATTAATTAACATATTTAATTTGTTTTTTAAGGAAGTATTAGTTTATTATAATCAAAATGAGGCATATAGATTACAGGATATTTATTCACGTTTGCCACCGTTAAAAGATTTATTTAAATAATACTTGTAATAAAATTATTTTATTAGTAATTAATAAAGTAAAAAAACACAGAAAAAGTATTAGAATTTCATAAAAAATACAATTTTCTCTTTATTTTCCTTAATTATTGAACAATTTATTTATATACTAAAAATATAACTACACTACTTTCTTAAATGTGTAATGTAATAAATAAAAGACAAAATGCGAAATCACTGTGATTAATTAATTTTTTTCTTTGAATGCAACGAACTGTGATTATTTCCATTTATCAATTTTAACAAGAAACGCGCGATGTATATTACAACAATGATAACAATAATTATACAAAGTAGAAGAAAGACAAACACGTCGACGAGAGATAATTGCCACCAGGTCAAATCCATTGCGGGCGATCGCAAAACATTGCTACCGTATTTAATAACATATTCGATCCAATAAATGGCGGTATCAAGTGCGTTCATCGGACGATCGAGGAATTTTTCAGACAGATTTCGAGCAGCGTCTCTGAAAGAAACAAGTTTCGAGAAATCGAGAAAGTGATAAAATATGACTTTTGCTAATCCAAGGTTGAATTTTTACTGCAATTTAAGACTAATTAGCTAATATGAATTACAAATTGCATATGTCACACATCTGCATATGGACGTAGATACATATTGTATATACAAATTGTACGAGTACGTACTTGTATATAGGATCCCATAAGACTGCATGTAAGGCCGCGTCCATATCTTTTTCCGTCATTTTATTAATGTCCAATCTCACGGCAATGTTTCTGGCAACGTATGCATCAATATTCATAAATTGATCGGCAAAGAGTGGTATACCGATCATTGGGACGCCGTATGTTATCGCTTCCTGCGTGCCCATGAGTCCGCCATGTGTGATGAAGGCTCTTATCTTAGGATGCTCTATGACAACATGTTGTATTACTTACATGTTGGACAATTTATATTTTTTACAAAATAATCTCCCTTACTCATTATTGCAATCTGCGGCATCCAAGGTGACGTGTAAACATTTTCGGGTAAACCGGGTGGCAATTTCTCCGGTTTCGGTACCTTCATTAAAACGCGCACGGGTGCTATTTTGCCTAAGGAAGTGTAAAGTATATTTAAAATCTTGCGTGGAAACGTCTCGATCATTACCATCGAGCCGAAAGTGAAATAGACGAAACCGTCTTTGCCATTGTTTATCCACTTCTCCAAATCCTGCGAAAAATGTTTTGACACAATATTAATTATATATTCACACATTGCTCACGATGTATTTTTATCTCGTATAAATAATAAAGAGATCAGAACAACATTGCTCACGCTGTATTTTTATTTCGTACAAATAATAAAGAAAATAAAACAACGCACGTAGTTACGTGTGTTGTCAGTATATAACTTATGTAGCAAATTTTATCTATTCATAAGTTACTTAAAATATATTTCTTTCCATTTTTAAAAAATAGATTGCAAATATTTCTTAATATATTATTAGATAACATAATTATCATATCCATTACATTTATGTGTGTTATCATTCATCAATGATTCTTTCAATCCAATGTTTCAAAAAAATCCAACAATAAACAATAAAAAAATAACAAAAAATAAATTATAATTAAAGAATATCCATTCTTGACAAATAATGTAAAATAAAAAAATTAGTAACGCTACACAACTACTAATATATATCCCCGTTAAAAATTGTACATCTGTTGAAGTTTGATTCTTGGAGATACGCAAATATATAGAAATTGCGCAAATGAATTTGCATATTGCTAATTGCATGAAGTTTTTATGAATTTTTAATAAAATATTATCAAGTACATTATTAACGCGACTATTTCAAATTAAGGAGTTTCTCAAATATCGTGTAAATCATTATCGTCTGTCACACTGAAAAAGTGAAAAATAATTGTTAAATAAATCGAAAGAACCGTCTTACAGGTTGCAACGTTAAGCTCTCGTCCTGGACATGCAATCCTGCCACATCTACAAGAGCAGGTGTCCTTGGTTGAATTCCATTTAGAGTGATGTGGGAATTGATGAGGATCAACGCCACCTTGGACTCCAATTCTCGTACACTCGGCATGTCAGGTCCAAAGTTCTTCCATATTATCTCATTTTGCGGTCTCGTGAGATAATAAAAATGTAATTTGCTATAAACCGTGTGTACCGTGTTGTATAAACGTTGCCAAAAATTCATATGACCAAGCTTGAAACTTAGGCAATTGTTCGGCACGAAAGCCAAACTCTCTGGTTGAGCGATTATTGGTGGTAGCCACGGATACAGTGACGTTGTGCTGATTCCGATCAGAGGAACATTCCATAAATGCGCAAAAATTGCGAAACACTGAGCACCAAAGACCTAATATAAAACACATGTCTTAAAACAAACAGCATGAAAGAGATTTCAGTGTAAAAATTAGCGCAATTTTATAAGTATTATTAGCAAGAATAATCTGTGCAAAATATTTACTAAAGTAAAAAACAACATAAAATTTGAAACAATATTTATTAATTAAAATGATTATTATTTGCTTTGATATATAGTTTCGAAAAATAAAACATCCAATTTTTTTTAATTCTTCGACTTTTTACCGAATTTACAATGAATTGGAAGAAAGCGAGAAGAACGTTTAATATATAATTAATTTGGCTATTGTAATTCTCTTATTGTACAATCACAGATTTACACATTACAAAAACAAGTTAATGATTCAATATTTGTTGTGAAATAAACTTTATGTTTTTAAATGTAATAAAATTCTTGTATTACATATGCAAAATAAGGCTTGTAATTATCAATGACATTAATGCTAATTTTAGCACATTACATGATATTATGTAATATTATATCATATCTGTTCGTATCAACGTTTTAGCACGTAATATCTAATATTATAACAATATTATCCCAATTTAGAAGAGTTCGACAAAAGTCACCTCTTATATTAGAAGCGTGACTGGTTTTATTAAGAACACAATTGGAAGTTTTAGCAGAAAGAGTTATGTGCGCAGATATCATTTATATAAGTTTTCAGAACTATATTAAAAAAAAATATATCACAATATTTATTTATCCTGATTGCTCTTCTATGTTATCAATAACATTGATAACATAGAAGAGCAAACAAAATAAATAAATATTTTATGTGTTTGACGCACGTTATATATTTTTGCTTGCTACTTTTTATTTATATCCTACGATGATAAATCATAAATTAAATTAAGAAAAAGAGAAAGTCAACAGATACTTTGATCATATTTGAAAAATTATTTTATCGTAAAAGATTATATGTTTGACGCACGCTATATATATTTATGCTTGCTACTTTTTATTTATATTCTACGATGATAAATCATAAATTAAATTAAGGAAAAGAGAAAATCGACAGATACTTTTATTATATTTAAAAATTATTTTATCGTAAAAGATTAAAACTAATTTAAAATAAATTTTAATTTTTTAGTTGTTACATCTTTAATTGATATTTCCATTTACGTTATCTCTTATATTTAAAAAGAAACTACAATTAAGATAAAAACAAATAATAATAAATAGTGCATAATACAAAACAGTGTTTGCTCGAAATAATGAAGAAAAATATACTTTAATATAATTTTTGTGCGAGTAGCTTTAACGAAGGGATTCTCCTTCTTATGTATAAATAAAAGAAATTAATTCTAGAGTATATATATATATGAATATATATACAGCAATGTATTCTAGATTTTTACTCACGTACTTCTATGAGTATCGCGTCGTAAGGTGGATCTCTCGGTGGATTATGCACCAGTTTTTGTATCTCCGGATTTTCCAAGTTTCCACAAATATCATTGCCTGCTAATGTTGCAACGGCATGTACCGGATTCATGCCCGCTAACAAAATTTGCATAAATTCGTATGACATATTATTAACTAATTTTAGAGGCGGTGTAATGTTTATAATATCATTGTAATTCGGATACGGTTTTTAATGGAAAAGAACTGATCACGTCGATCTGATGACCCTTCCTGGCCAAACCCTTCATCAATTGCTCGCACATAACAAAGTGACTCTTGCCATGAAAAGGAAAGAGCCCGAGAAAACGATATCCGTCACAAACCGACAGGTAGAATAGCCAAAGAAACATCACTTTAATCATCTGCATTTTTTCACTCACTTTTTATTTCAGTTTTATTTCAATTTATTTGAATTCTATTATTATATTTTATTTTATTTAAAAATAATTTTACCGTTCTTTAAATTAATTTTATTATATTTACATTTTCTTTCGATGAATTATTAATTATATAATTTAATTATTGTTATATAATATATTATTGCAGAATAATACAGTAAATATTATATAATAATGTTGATGATATGTCAACTGCATTTTTGAACACGTAGTATAAGACTGAGAATTTTAAATATAGATCCTCGCTTAAATCTCATGTTAACATATGGTGGGGATAAGTGCGTGCATTGAAATAGAGAGCGCGTACAGCTGATACTATATCATTTATTTACTCGCTTTTGTAGATTCATAAGTGTAACATATTATAGAATCATTCCAAATGAATCATAATGTCATTCTTAATAATTATAGTCATTTGTCTATCTACCTAGGAAGTTTTATAACTGTCGATTATTACAGGTTTTATCATCGCAATGATGAGCAAAAATATAAATGATATGTTTTCTCGGCAGTTTTCATTTTAATGCTTTAATTTGAAATGCATAATACAATTTTTTATGTTAGCAAAGAGCAAACTTTTTTGTATTTTTTAAAAATGATGGTTTACATATAGTTTATATTTGTGACTAGTAGATTAAATCTAATGTTATACAAATCTATTGTAATTGTATTTTTATAACTATATACTTTACTGTATTGTTGCAAGCTTATTAAAGTCTATAGTTCTTTGTAATTCAATGTTTCTGCATTGTTGTACTATAATTTGCAAGGTTGCAATGTGATTGCAATATAGCGGTAAAATTATGTTCTGTATGTATATTTTTACCGAATATTTTTATCTATTGTAAAAATTTTTATAATAGTATTCTCGATTGTATGGCCTTTGTATATGATACAGAAATATAAAATTTTATATTTAAGTTCGATCATCCATCATGCATAAAATAGATGAAATATATGTACTAATAGAAGGCAAATAATATAAAGATGATTTTTATCTCATCATACTTTATAGAAATCATATACAGTGAATATAGTTATTAAAATTGCAAATAAAAATATTCAAAGTATACATTTTTATTCTTGCTTAAGTCGAAAAATAAAGCATATACTTTTGCATAACGTACATGCATAGTGCATATAATATAGAAATGAACCAATCGGATTCTTTTATTTTTTATCCTAGGATAAAAATGAAGGATTCCGATTGGCTCATTTCCTTATGTATTATGCATTATCTCTATTATGCATTATGTATTATGATTTCTCACTGGGATGCGTTATGCAAAAATGTGTGCTCCGCGAGATCTATTACTGATTTATCTCTTCCATTTTTATATCTCTTTAAAAATATTATAAGCGTAATATTTAATCGCATTATTACACTACATAAATTAGTTTCTAGAATTTTAACGCTTGTGTTATCTTTTACCTATTTTTCAATGCTCTCTATCAAGCTTTTGTAAATTTATTTAAATTTTCACAAAATACTGATAATCGCGGCTAATTCCCCGACATGTCGAAAATTGTGTTATGGATAAACTTATATATAATGTACAGTGCCGGTCCTGGGTGCTTGGCCGCCCCTGTGCAAACCCATTTTTCGTCGCCTCTTTATTACGTTAAAATTTGGGAAAATTCAAAAATATTCGTACTATATATTATAGAATCAATGTATATATTTTTATTTGAATTACACTATATTCTTTGATATTCTATATATTGATATTCTATTGTTTATATGTCATCGAACGAAAAGATAACGAAAAGACTCTTCATTAGTTTTACTTGGCATTAGATTTTTTTGCAAGATTTTGATTTGCCGTAATTCCATAAACACATAAATTAGAATATTAAGAGAGATGAATTGTATTTATCGATTGATTAATCGTCAGTTTTAACATAAAAGTATTATACTATATTCTATTAATTATTTTACATATTATTATTCTTTTACAAATTGTGATTTTGTTTTTTAATTTTTGTAAAACATTAAGACTCAGAGCGTTTGCCCTTCGCTAGAACCGGCCCTGATAATGTACGTGATGTAATTGATAATTATAAAAAAATCAATTACGCACTTTTAGTACGAAAAAACGTAACACTATATAGTATTTTTCTTACTAATTAGGGTCAATTTCACCAACTTTGATTAATTTAACCTCCAGTTAAATATATATATATATATATATATATATATATCTTGTCTCTTTTCAGAGTTCGTGAAGTTGGCTCTTAAACATTTGAATATTTAATTCAGATATCATCGATATATATCGATCATGTGCCTCACGCATGTTTGAAAGGACCGAAAAAGATCGATTTCACCGAAGTTCGTCAAGTTGGCGCTGAGACATTTAAATATTAATTCAAATACAATCGATATATATCGATTGTGCGGTCGATGACGCACCTCGCATGCGCATGCGCACAAGAGTCCCGGCTTCCGGCGAGAGAAGAAAAGGTATGTCAGCATGTTTCTTGAATTCGCGCAATATTAAATATATCAGATTAAGAAGATTACTTGTTCAGACAAATTTGCATAAATGCATTGTGCGATTTTCTTCGTACTAGACGAATAATAGATTGATTTTTCCGTGCATAGATGCATAAGTTATGGGTAAAGAAATTAACCTAATATATCAGTGCGTTTAAATGTATATATAGGTAATGCTTATATATGATTTCCTGCGACTCTGCGTATTCATTACGCATCTCTGCAAATTTGTCCAACTTGGCCACTCAATTTCTCGCTTTAGATCGAACGAAACATTCCGGGAGACGATTGGCTGACTACTGTCGCGTGCAACGTGCTGCCGCGATCTGTGTGAAAGGGACTTTACGTTGATTACAATAAAGCCACATGTTTGCAGTTTGTGGTTGCGCGCACCGTCAACTGGTCAACTGCTGTACCGCCCTGCTTTTGAGAGAGAAACCGAGCACGAGAGATTCTGCACGCGCTTTCGATATCGCATGACTTGTTCGCGACAGCGCGCACGATATCTCATCCGTGGAAAAAGCTCCAACGAACGCTTCCGCTTCGGTGAATCCAATCGCCGAGATATTCGGTTGGAACGCGGAGTTAGAGTCGGTCCGAAGCTGAACGGAGCAATCGTTTCCCGCAGCGAGCCAAGATGCAGGAATCTCAGCCGAAAAGGGGCAAAAAAGGTCAGTCGAGTCGGCGAGGTCGTCGAACGATACGAATTTTCTTTCGCGCATATCGTGTCGCCTAATTAAAGTGCATGTCGAATTAACATATGCACGCTCCTCCTCTCCGATGTGGCAAATGTCGTCTGCTACCTAACCTTTAACACGTTCGCGTTGCACAAGGATTTTACTCGTTTTTTGCTTTCTTTTTCCTCGCTGCGACACGACTACGACGATTTTAATGTGGTATTTAATGTGAACAATATTTACATGATACTAACGAATGCTTGAAGTAAGAAAAATTATAGCACTATTTTTTTGGCAATATTAGTCCTTGACTCATTCTAATAATGTCCGAGAGTTAGGTAACGTTATAAGCTCAAACTATGCACAAGAGTGCAGTGACCAAGTTTTGAAAATTGATTTAAATCTCTGCAATTATAGGTCACTCTCTCGGTTAATTAATCATATCGCGAGTGAAAGTTGTTCATTCTTGGTGCGTAGTGAAAGTTGATGACCTTTGAATTGCATCAGCTTTGTACTTTATTACAATTATACTTTAATACATAATTATATTCTTAATCATTTATTGTCTGTCCTAATATAATAAAACTTTTAAATTCATTATTTCTGTTGAAATTTTTAAGTAATGTATACATATATGTATAAATGGAAAGTTATTTATTAATGGAGCTCTATATTATATTATATAATTGTAAAATTATTTAATATTAATATATTAGACTTAATATCTTCGATAACATATTATTAGCATTTTGTGGTTATTTCACATGGAACAATTTTTATCTTAATTCTTTTTTTTCATTTCTGTTATGTTTACACATATAGATCTAGATATAGATGATCATATTTATTATTTATATCAATAGCCAAAAGAAATCGCAATGACAGTGACGATGAAATTGAACAAGTATTGGCGAGCTGGCACTGGAATATTCTGCAACAAATCAATTAAAGACAATAAAGTTGAAGACAATTCGGAACCAAGCGAGCAAAAGGTTGACGATGAAGATAAAAGAAAAAAGGGAAGAAGGATAAGAAGAAGGAAACGGCTGAAAAAGATGATACTCGAGATGAAACTACAGACAATAATACAATAGCATCGGAATTAAAATGATGCAGATATAGACAGTGAAGTCAGCACTGTAAGACAGCAGCGCAAAGAAAAAGGAAAAGAAAGAAAGAGAGAAGCAGAAAAAGTTGGCTCAAAAAAAAAGTAAGTAAACATGATGTAATTTATTTTACAGATATTTTTATATAAAACTTTTATCTAAAGTGTAATATTTTTTCTATATTATTAAAATTTGTATTTATACTATTTATTACGACAGGAAATGACTAAGGATATTAATAAGAAGACAGAAAATGGTGAAGTAGTCCAAGCTGCAACGTCCGATGAGAAAAAAAAAGATAATGTATCTGAAAGAAACAGGATAGTATGGAAGCTGATGGTGATGTTGTTGAACCAGAAGATAGTTCAAAGAAGAAAAAGAAAAAAGGTGCCAAGGAAGAAAACTAAAGAGAAAGGTAATTTCATTATTAATAATATATATTATATATTTATATAATAATATTATAATTATTATATAAATATATATAATATTTATATATTTTATATAATTATTCTTCTAACATAGCAGACGGGATTTTGTAATAGGCAAAGGTCCTGGAAAAGAAAACTATTGCTGCTATGCAGGAGGCTTTAAGGAAAGTAAAAGAAGAAGAAGAGAGATTGAAACGTGAAGAAGAGGAAAGGATGCGACAAGAGGAAATACGAGAGCAAGCAAGACTGGAACAATTGCGACTTGAACAAGAACGCAAGAAAGAAAAAAACAAAAGAGAAGCAGCGGAAAGAAAGATTGAAGGCAGAAGGCAAGCTCTTGACTACAAAACAGAAGCAAGACAGAGCTAGAGCACAAGCGATGATTGAATCGCTTAAAGCTCAGGGTCTTGATTTGCCAGATGTAGGAGAAAAAAAGCCTAGACCAGGTATATTTTACAAAATGCATATATAGGAAATAATCGAAATCTTTTATATATAAAATTTTTATTATATTAATCATTGTATTAATTATATTGAATCGTTTTAGGAACTCGAATCAGGCCGAATAAAATGAAACAACAAAGTAGTGTAGAGAAGAAAGAGGAAGAAAAAGTTGAAGATAATAAGGCTCCAGCACCTCAAGTGGAAGTAGAAATTGTAGATGAACCGGTAAAGGAAATACAGGAGAAGAAGGAAGAAGATGATGTCAAGGATTCATGGGATGCAGACACCACTGAGGATGAGCACGAAGATGAAGGTATTACAATATATACATTACGATCGTCATATGATTATACTTGTATAATAATTAAAATGATCGAATCATAATTAATTAAATTTATTGTTAGATAAATCGGACGATGTTCTCAAGACATCCGAAACAGCGGAAGATGTTCAAAAAATATCAACTGAATCGGAAAAGAAAGAGTCCTCCGAAAGTGAAACAGAAAGCGAAAGTGGGAGTGAATCTGAATCTGAAGAAGATAGTGAACAAGACAGTGAAGTAGAAGACAAAGTGCCAGATGCTGCACGTAAAAGGAACGTGCGAGGGAACGAATTCAGAATCGTCGTATAGAAGCTGAGAAGAAAAAATCTTTAGATAATCTGCGAGCTGCTGTAGTTTGTGTCTTAGGCCATGTAGATACCGGCAAAACTAAAATTCTAGATAAACTCAGGAGAACGAATGTGCAAGACGGAGAAGCTGGTGGTATAACTCAACAAATTGGTGCTACTAATGTACCAATTGAAGCTATCCAAGATTCAACAAAGCATGTAAAAGGCGTAAGTATTTATTTTAGTATCCAAGTCTTGAAATATTGAAATTTTATGAATATGTTACAGCTATATATCGTTTCTTTTTTGTTTTTAGTTTGCTGACAAGAAATTTAAAATTCCCGGTCTCTTGATCATAGATACGCCTGGTCACGAATCATTTAGTAACCTCAGGAGTAGAGGATCTTCTCTTTGTGATATAGCAATTTTAGTTGTAGATATTATGCATGGATTGGAACCGCAAACTTTAGAGAGCATCAATTTATTAAAACAAAGAAATGTCCTTTCGTTGTTGCTCTTAATAAAATTGACAGGTACTATCTTATATTAAATAATCGATTTGTAATTGTAATTAAATAATGTGCAATTTATAAATGTAAAGTCACAATTTAATCTTTTCAGGTTATACGATTGGCAAACTATGAGCCGGAAGGATGTCCAAGATATAATAAAAAATCAAGCACCTAATACTCAGCGAGAATTCGAAAAACGATCCAAGGACGTAATTGTACAGTTTGCTGAACAAGGTCTCAACGCGGCATTGTATTATGAGAATCCAGATCCTAGGAATTATGTATCATTAGTTCCTACCAGTGCTATAACGGGTATGTCTTAAGATGAGACATAGATAGTATTTGATGGAAATATCAGAGTGATTATTTACACATTTTTGTATCACAATATAGGCGAAGGCATGGGTAATCTGTTGGCGTTAATAGTCGATGCCTGTCAGGGTCCTCTGGCTAAGAGATTAATGTATAGCGAAGAACTTCAGGCTACTGTATTGGAAGTTAAAGCATTGCCTGGACTCGGCACTACGATAGACTGTATTCTAGTCAATGGAATGTTAAGAGAAGGTGATACAGTCATTATCGCTGGTACGGATGGGCCTATTGTAACGCAAATTCGCTCGCTTCTTATGCCGCAACCGTTGAAGGAATTGAGAGTTAAGGTAATCTGCCAAAGTTATATTTTGCATGTTGAAATGTCATTACAGCTATTATTTCTTTTTTGTTTTTTTTATCTTTTTGAAATATAATATTTATTGTATTGTACATGTATTTTTATTCCACAGAGTGCGTACATCGAACATCGTGAAGTTATAGCAGCTCAAGGAGTGAAAATTGCCGCAAAAGATTTGGAGAAAGCCATCGCTGGTACGCAATTTACTTTTTGATAGTTATAATATAAGAATCATAATACAGATATCATGTATATATGTGTATTTGTTTTTATGTCTGAAAAATTAAATAACACAAAACTAATATTTGTGTACAGATTAAATTTACAAGTTGCACAGAAATCAGATGAAGTGGATGTATTAAAGGAAGAAATAGCAAAAGAATTGTCGAGTGCTCTTGGAAATATACGCTTAGCTGAACGAGGAGTTTACGTCCAGGCGTCAACTTTGGGAGCTCTTGAAGCATTATTAGATTATTTGAAGAGCAGTAAAATACCGGTGAGTACCCTTAATTGTCTATTTATCTAAGGAAAGTTATCCTTTCATTCTATGTGCGAGACATATATACACATAATAGTACTAATATTGTACTGTAATGTATTTTTTATACCCTGCTAATCGAAAAATGAAACCATTGCCATCACTCGTGTCGAACAGTATTAATATTGATAAATGATAAATTCATTGCTGAATTTATATATATAATTTTATATACATATAATCAATTAAAAAAATAAAAGGCAGATTTTTGTGGAAAATATTTTTCATTGATATATAAAGGTCTCTTTTATTAAATATTTAATCACAATCTCTCTTGAATGAATATAAACTGATAATATTATTATCTTGATTTATAATTTTATCAGAGATTAAGGTGCTTAAGTATTAAACTTATCTATATGTATATAATGTACAATCTGTATCTCTATAAATTTTGTAGAAACAAAATATTTCTATAGATTTTTCTTTAATTTCACAATTACATTTAGTTATTATTTTTTACAATTTATTTATATTATATAAAAATAATGACTCTCTGTGCATTTAGGATTTCAAAATTTCGAGAAAAATTTAGATTTGCAATTATATGTATAAATAAATTATATATATAAAGCGCGTATAGATCTCTGTAGCAGAAAAACGGACGGACACACAGACAGATAGATCAGTAGCTAGATAGATAGATAGACAGATGGAGAGAGAACAGCAGCAACAGCAGCAGCAACGAACCACTTCCTTCTTAACAGTTTAGCAGGATACGGCTCATTGGTCGCATACGGTGCTTGTACTCGTGATCCATCGTGCTATCAGCCGCACTGTTCAACCGTGGGCACGCCTCATAGCCTTTTACAAGATGTCTTATGCATATGCCACGCATCGACAAAAAATTCGCACGCCGTTTTCGAGTCTATTTTTTTTTTTTTTTTTTTTTTTTTACAATTTTCTCTAAAGCAGACGTTCTACTTAATATTTATCAAAAGAAATGAAATGTGCGTGCTCGTTTTTCACGATACAATTAGCATTTTGTTATTTGTCGTGCGTGACAAATTACACGAAACTTAAGTTTTTTTTCGACGATATATGACGAAATAATCTTACTTGCGTAAAAAACTTGCAAATTATTTGGTCGTCAAGTATTAAATTAATACATGCCACGGATAAATAAATATGATTTGATGTGTATATAATTTATGAGAAAACTGTAGAGTCGTTTCTAGCACTGATACGCGGTGAAATCAGCGGACGCATGTTTGTCCTTAATCAGATATAGATATATGTATCTACGGGAGAGAGCGAGAGAGGTATAACAAAAATACGTCCCGTTATATCTCTTGAAACTAAGATATCATTCACAACAAGCTCCGTCTACGATACAATGAACGTAATAGTAGAGACAATTCCGCCAGAAAGTCTGCTACACACATGCGTACGACGTAAGATACGTATACATACACACATGCATAAATGTATATATACGTGTATATTTCGCAAGTCGAGGCTGGCATCAATCGCATGTGCGTCTAAAAGTATTTTTTTGCGGTGCCATATAGAGAAAGACAGAAGAGGAAAAGGAGGGAGAAAAAAAAGAGAGAGAGTACGGTAAAAACTTCCTGTCATCTTTGAGCTCGCGGAGGTAACACACCGTCCGAAACGGCCTTAAGCCTGTCCTTGCTCAGGTTATGAATGGGTTCTCCCCACCGTATCGTACCATCACGTGGCCACATGACGTCAGTTTTATCGCACGCACACGCGAGAGAGACACGCACGCACGATCGCCTGTCTCTCCCTCCTTTCTCTCTCCTTTATCCCCCTTCGCTTCCTCACGTGCATACAGAACACTTTTCACGGCGCGAAAGGATGACGAGGGACCAAGAGGAAAGGAGAGAGAGAATCGAAGTATCGCGGTTAGATTCATACACACATGCGACAATGGTAATTTTTTTCATCTTCTTTCTATTTACATATATATTTGCCGATTTATACATCTCTACATGTCCATTTATCTATCTAGCTATCTCTTTATCTGTCGGAATGCCTCGCTTTTGCCAATATGGAGGCTCGCGCTCGCGGACGTGTGTAGGCTGGAAAAAAGGAATACGTGATCACATACAACGTGCAGGAAACTGCCCACACTCGGCGCGCGAGCACCGTGGGTGGACGGATCGACGGATGAACGGACCGGACGATTCAGAAATCGTAGCAATTTCAGGCGCCGACACGCCAATAAATACATCAACTCCGCGAAAGCTTGGTAAAATTATCCAGACGCTTTTTTACGTTTTTAAATATGTAGCTTCTAGCCGAGACGGAGACGTCTTTACAACGTTAATCGTTGAAATTCGCGCTTCATTCTTAACTTTATATGCCTCATTTTTATGTTGAATAATCATTTCTTATTCACACGCAGAGAGAATTTTTGTCTATGAATATACCCTGAAAATCATGATAATTGTATGGTATAATATAGTATTCGAAGAATTTTACAAGAGTTTTTCGATTAATATATTTACCACATTAAAAATATTAATGTGTACATAGTAAAATTAATCGAACATATTTTATATCTTATTGTACATATATTAATATTTTTATTACCATGATTTTCAGTGTAAATTCTAAAAAAATTCTCTGTGTGCATAATTTATTAAAAAAGAATCTGAAAGTACGAATTTTATTACAAGATTTACGAGTTATTCGATATCATCTTCATTTCATAAAATCTAAAGTTTCCCTGCTGCATCTTGCAAACATGTAAATTAAAGCTAATAATTTTGATCACACACACGCGACAATAGAACGATGTACAACTTTTGAGTTGAATGACTAACCGAAGGAAAGAATCGAATAGTATTCTCGGTTAGCCCTGAAGATGTTTTTCAAGGCGCCGTAATGACTCCAGGCTGTTATTGCAAACGTAAACACTATATATCGGCGCGAATGCGTCACAATAGCGCCGTTGAATCGACGATTCTTATCGGGTGCGTCTTCCTGTCCTCGTCCCGTTTAGACGAGAACGGGATCGGAATATGTAGCTTAATCGGGACGTGTTACGTTCTTCTTGGAACGTGCGCGCGATCGCCGATTGCTTCTTTATAGACACAGAGTGCGCTCTTGCAATAAGAGACAGGTGCGATTGCAATCTGACGATAATCGAAAACAATCGTTCGACCAAACTTTCGCGAGCCAAATACCATCCTTCTTACGACATTTCCCAGTTATTACCCAAATTGTTATGCAACAGCTGATGTTATTGACGCGATTCTCTTTAGCAATACCGATCGCCATTGACAGTTCCGAAAGTGCTCGAATATATATATATCTTTGGTTAACAATTTTAGCTATATAATGGCTACTATTTTTTACCTACAAAATTACTAACTGCTATACCTAAAAAATATTAGTTACCACTTATCATAGCTAAAATTTAGCCATACGAAAGGTTGCGCTTGTTGATGTTGTAAAGAATATTTTGAAATAGATTTCATATGAATCGTTATCACTAATCGATACGTATCTGTTAACGCGTGTTCTAAATATGAATCGGTCGAGAGATATGTCGTCTTATCAACGCGTTGATATTAAAATCGAAATATCTTCGAGTTTCTTCGTCTTCTCTCGAAAGCTCTCGTCGGAGTCGAAGAGAGCAGCACGCCGTCACGAGCGGACGGAGCGAACGCCTTTCTCGGCTTCGTTTCGATGCGAGCACACAGCAGGAAAAGATGGTTCGCTTCCTCGCATTGTTTCTGAACGCTCGACAGCACGACAGCGGTCTCTTTACACGTCGGTTAAGAAATGGGTTCCCTCGAAACCGGAGAGAGACTATAATGCATTTTCATATAATCGCGCCTATCGTTCGCCTATCGTTCTAACAAATTAGACAATCCGCTAATTAGGCACTTCCGTTTGCAGACGTGGGCGAGGAATACATTCCTCTTCCATTCGTTTTTATATCGCGCGAGGTGTCTTCTCTTTTTCTATTTCACCTCTTCCTTTATTTTTTCCAAAATGCCCGAGTATTATATTAAGGTAGTTCGATCGTTTTTCACAATTCTTACGAATTTTTAGAAATTTTAATATGTTGTAGACGGAGTTAATATCTATCGATTACGAAATTTTGAAATCGATTCACCGTTTAGTTTAACAGTTATTCACAATTAAAAATAGCATTTTTTCTATACACCACGTGAAAGGATGGCATTTTCATCACACATTTTAATATATAACAATAGAACGGATCTTACGATTTTAATAAAAAAACCAGTGGGGTATACAATATGAGTGTGGGATTATTAAAAAAAAAAAATAATTTTTTCCACTGTTTAGTTTCAAAGATATTACTTTTTAAAGAAATGAATTTTTTTCCAAACGGAACATGAAGAGAAATTGCAATGATGATGCGTGTATTCATACATGAGCTGTTTCTATACGAAGAGGTTCAGACTGTACAGACTCAACTAAAATTGTTGCTACGGTAACATTGTATAAACGATGAATTTCCTTATCGATTAGAGGCGAAACTTTTTCTTGATATTGTAAGCAATAGAACTACCTTAATACGAAGAGACGAGGATTTCGCAAACGATGAATGACAATGTCTAAACGAAACCTTCCACTTTGGTGGAATTGAAACTCGATTGGCGCGGAAATTTCGCAGCATCTGCGGATTCTCCGCCTGGGTCGTCGAGCGTTCACGAGCGGAAACGCGCGCGGCACTCGCTTCTCTGCAGCAGGAAAAGATGGCTCGTTTCCTCGCATTGTTTCTAACCGCGGCAATAATACGCGGCCCGTATCCGGGGACATGGGAGCGGATGCGCGCACGCTCAACCGCGTTTTGAGCCAAGCGATCGGAGGAAAGCTGCGCATTAACGCGTTAAACGTGAATCTCGATTAACTTCATCAAGCTTTATGACCCAAGATTATATATACGAGCTGCCCCGAGACAACCCGGACGTTGTTTTAATCTCGGCTCGTCTTCGTTATACGGAAAGAGACGAGTTTTCTCTAGTCTATATACATTTTTTTATCGACGAGTTTTTTTTTTTCTTCCGCGTGTCTCTGCACGATTAACTGACAGTTCTACATCTTTATACGAACTTTAAATTATTCGAAGAATAGATTACTCGAAGCTCTTTTTTTGTCATCATTTTAAATAGTTGCCTCTTGCGGCTGGAGCTCTGCTCACGAGATGCATCTCTCTGGCCGCGTAACCGTGGCAGTTCTCTTGTAGAAAAAAAAAAAAAAAAAAAAAAAAGGCACGTCACCGAATTTGCGAGAGGCGCAAAACACGCTTGTCCTTCGGCGGCGACGTTAATCGTACGCGCTTGCTCGCTCGCTCGCGCGGGCAGGATATGCAGGAGGAGCAGAATGGGAGGCGAGTTTAATAAATTAGCGTTTCCTTCTTCGGCGCAGCGTGCCGCAGTTACGACGAGAGGCTAAAGAGGATCCGTGCTCTGACGGCTGGTTTTAAATGCCGGAAGCGCACCCCCTCGCTCCCTCCCCCACCCTCGTCCCTCTCTCCCTCCGTATATACCGAGTCCTCCCCTCGCCTTCCTCGTCCCTCTCTTCCACCTCCGTCTTACTCTTCCTCCCAACTTCCTCCCGCTTGTACCAGCGGCGTTTCTTTCGCCGGCAACATCTGCCATGTCCGCCTTTTTTTTTTCTCGTCGTATTAGGTCTTTCTTCTTCTCTCTCGTTTGCGGCGCTTCTCTTCTCTCTCCTTCTTTCTTCCATTTTTTTTTCCACCACGGCACCTCTCTCGCCTTTTGCCCTCTTCCCCTTTCTTCCCTTTTCCCTTCTCTCTTTGAGAGCATCCGTTCTTCCAAAGCCAAGTATCGTCAATTTGCGACTCGCTACGAATTTTGATAGCGCACGAAGAAGACACGTTTCCATGTGTGATAAACGATTATTGTTTAAAAAAAAAAAAAAAAATTATACTCGTTTATCGAGTTTGATTTTCGCGACCTCGAGCAAATTGTAAAATAATATAATTAATAAGTAATTGAATAATGTACAACTGTGTATACATTCGTTATTTTATTATCATCTAAAAATGTTGAAATATTGTAGCGTGCAAATTTGTGTGTGCTTTGTCTTTTGCTTTGACATTTCACGAAACTGCATCCCTGCAATGTGCAATAAATAGAACCGACGTAAATTGACGATATACATATATATATATATATATATATCTGGTGTCAGGATCGGAATTCGACGCGCACCGGAAGTTCTAAAACACACTTATCAAGAGACATGGTCTCAAGACACGCACAGCAAGGCGGATCGTGTATATCTATACGCCAAGTTGTGTATGAGAGTACTTAAACTTATCGAATCTTATGGTAATGGCTGGATCAGGTTCTTATATACTCGATCCGCAGCCTGTCTATTTTACGTAACAAAAGTGTACTTTATCCCAATACTAAAATTTCCATTAAGAAATCATTACTGTTTCGATTCGAAATGAGAGCTTCCGGTCTCCTGAATCAGAAAGGCCGATACAATTTTCAGTTTTTACAAAACACTGATAAGTGGTAATAGAACTCACAAAATGTATTCTTCATTGATAAAGGATTTTTCAAACATAATGTATATGAATAAAGATGCATGATGCACTTAAGGTAATGATAAATAAAATAATTTGATGCTCTTATGAAATAATTATCACATTATTTTAATTTTCTAATGTACTATATTGAGATGTTAATACTAATTTTTTATTATTAATCACGATATTATTTTTACGACAGTTTTTTGCATTAATTTTTTTATTTTTAATTTAGGTGCATCATATTTATATACATTTGTTTATCGGAAAATATATTTTGTGTGTGTTAATATGCACAATTATTGCAAATATATTGTATTTTGTTGCATGAAACCATTTGAATATCGAAACGTGCTAATAGAAAAATTCCATGCGCAAGTATTCGATTTTTAATAATTTTCCGATAGTTCTCGGAAATGTATCATTTTCCACTTATTCGTTCATCCGTTCGTTCGGCTTATCCATACTTGCCATTTCTTTTCGATCGCTTGCCTATCAATCTCCTGATTATACCGGCTCGAGAATTTGCCCGTAAATAGGAGTTGTACCATTTGCACGATCTGTATATGTACCTGCGAGAATAATTATCGTTACAATCGAGGATGCAGTTCGCGAGAGGAAGCGACGAGAAAAACGATCGCGGTATCGTTATAAACTTTAAAATATTAATAAGGAAACAAACTTTAACGGAAGTTTATTATTACGAAAGAAAAAGAAATTGAAACAAGTATTAAGTATTTATAAAAGAAACAAAATGAATGATCCAACATTCTTTAGAATGGTAATTTATATCAGCTTCAATGCACACACATTTTGAAGTTGTTAAATATCATGGCTATTAATAGTTAATATTTAAATGTTATATAGAATGTTTCAGAATAAATTTTAGTGTCCAGCAGGAAAGCTTTTATATAATGATCTTGTTTACGTACTGGAGAGTAGTGAATATAGAGAGAAAGAGAGAAAGTAATAAAAGGAATAAAGGGGAGTTTATATATTATACTTATAGTATATTTAAACTTGATGGCAGTTCTTAACGCGGCAATTAATCCCGTATATCGAGTATCATTTTATAGACATCGACCATATCAGCAACTGATATAAATATCTGTTTCGCAACCGGAAAACAGACGCACGAGTGTAATTATAAAGGAAGATTACAGGAAATTTGCGTCTTATGGCGAATGACTGAGGCTGAGTGTAATATTTGCAGTACATAATCTGGCAGTTATCGGAAATATACTCACATGTACTTTTCATTAATTTCCTTACATTTATTTAACGAGACATACTGAAATTTATTTATGATCGTATATTCATTTTCAACTCGGAAAACATGGTACACTCTCAAGATACTCTGTCGAATTGTGCGAGAAATTGTTTATCGTTGAGATTCTATCATTTATTTATTACTCGCAGAATATTGTTAAATGTCAAATTTAATTTATAGAAGGAACTAGAAATCTATATTTTTGCTACATTTATATATTTTTATTAATTGCGATAACGATTTAAGCTATGGTAATTAAATAGTTTAACGAAGAATTTTATAAATATTAATTCAATCATAGCTTTTAAATTTAATTACGGTAGCTACATTTTTCCGCGTATCTCGCGAGGAGACGGTCGGCTTTAATTCCGAGTCTATCTCGCTCTTCCCCGACCGCGAAGCGGCCTTTTCTCGGTAAAGCCGCGAAACGGCTTGTTTGCGAACTGCATCGCGCGCGCGCGCGCGCGCCTTTATTTCAACGTGTTGCGTCTTTGCATCTTCTCGCTTCTCGCGTGTCGTCCCGTCTCGCTGCGTCCGAATCCGGGCGACGCTGCATGCGTCACTGGTTATTTTTGCCTAGACCCGCGGGATGGATCTCCATGGTGGTTTCTCGATGGATTCCGGTCCCGGTATAAGCAGCGTGGAGCATAGATTCTACCGCAAAACCTTCATCTCTCGGTCGGAAAACTGTTATTCCATACTTCCGGCCAAATGGAGCGCAGCGGGATCCTGTCCCCATCCGCGCGAACCGATCGTCACGTCGATGAAAAGTTGCATTGTCTCGTAAGAGAAGAGTCTGTCGTGGTGGGTCGAAGGTAAAGAGATTCGACCGTTTAGATTCTCACAGTAACGCCCCTTTTTTGCCCTTTCCGTTACGCAACAATGTGCGAAATAACGTAAGAATAACGCGAGAAACTATGTAATAATGTTGCCAAGATGACAGCGGTCGAGCGAAATCGGAGCGACTTGCGTAATGACGAATGTATCACTTAGCAATCTCTTCGATTCGTTAATCGATACTTTTATCTCTTTGTTTACAGTACTCTGGAATTCGTATCGGACCCGTCGTCAAGAAAGATGTCATGAAAGCTTCCATCATGTTGGAACACGATAGCCAGTGAGTACAACTTTGAGTTGTATCAAGACCAGCTTTTCTGGACATTAAAGTATATAAATATTTCTTTTCGATTTTTTTTTTGTTATAAACGCAAAAGAGAAAATTCCATTTTTTAGCTAGCTGGTTGGATTGTTGCACGTTTAATTAATAATCGGCGTTTAATTTGTGTTTAGATACGCCACGATTCTCGCGTTTGACGTGAAAATCGAAAAGGACGCGCAGGAACTTGCGGACGCACAGGGCGTGAAAATCTTCCAGGCGGATATCATTTATCATCTATTTGACAAATTCAGCCAGTATAGGGAAGAACTGAAGCAACGTAAGCGGGACGAGAACAAGCACATTGCCGTATTCCCGTGCAAGCTAAAGATTCTTCCGCAGGTGCGTATGCGATTTTTTCTTTTCCTTTTCTTTCTCGGCGAAACATATACGTCGGTAGCCTCTGAAGTCGCCAACCTTTTAACCAAGATCCGATATATTTTGTATTTCAGTATGTATTCAACTCGAGGGACCCGATCGTGATCGGCGTGATGGTCGAGGCTGGAATCGTCAAGGAAGGAACGCCACTCTGCGTCCCGAGCAAAGACGTGAGTCGACTCTTTTTATTCATTCTTCTTTCTCTTTCCGACTCACCAAGCTCGTGAATCGCATCTTTTCGCATCGTTCGCATCATTAGAATATGAATATCGCCGAGTAAGCTTTACATGTCGCACATGTGAGAATCAATAACGTTACTACACTTTGACTCTTCGATAAATCTGTACACGTAAGTGATATGTTTTTGATATCCGAAATTTTTTATCATTACATCTACTATTTAGAATCACAACATTCTCAATGAGAGGAAAATATCTCAACGAGATTTATTTAAGAGAGTGAAATATTTTTTGATCATTCTTGAAATATAAAAGAACACCTTTGCGCGCGTGCAAAATCGGTGCGAAATACTCGTGTCTCGGATGTACAAAAATTGGCATCAAGGGCGAAAATTGAATCGGCTTGTCCAGAAGAGTCCGGACAAACGAGAAGGAGAGAAAGAGGTCTCGAGGATCGGGATACGCGTAGGTGAACTCGTTCGGCGATTCGGTTAGCCGATCGATCGCGTCAACTCGCTCCGACATTCTCGCTCTCCCATAGCGAGAGATCCCTCTCCCGTTCTCTCCCGTAGGAGGAACCGGGTGGGTAGGAGCTCTGCTCTCCGGCCTCGCCTTACGCGGTAGCGCGAAACGGTGCAGGTTGCCTAGCCTCGAATTCTCGTAGGCGTTGGCGATGCCATTAGCGGCACGCAAATTCCCGACGGGCAAAAATCCGAAATGTATTCTCCCACCAACGTCGCACCCACGCACCGGCCCTTATTTCTTCCCTCTTGCCTTTTTGTGGACGCTGATTTTTCACATTCCGCGATTCACTCCTTTCTCATTTAGGAAAAAATCATCTTTAGGTAATAAAAATCTTTCTCTCTCTTTCCCATTTGTGTATTTTACAAACTGCACGATACGAGTTTTCCCAACATTTGCATAATATACTATATTTATTGTACACGTCTGGGCGTGCCTCGCCAAAATATCTCTCGGCTATTCTCGAAAATATCTGGTCTCTCGTGAAAGTTGCGAATCGCAAGCGATGTATGTACGGTTTCGCGATTCGTAGGAGTCGCGAAGGGAGACGAGACGAGCATTCCGAGCCCTTGCGCATATAGAAAGCGGTTCCGACCACGTATCCACCTAGCCCACGCGATGTTCTCCGCGGGACATCGAGAGGGACTTCTCTCTCGCCCGCAGCCTCTTAACAAGATTTCTCAACATTTTCTGGCGACGCGACGCGAGGAGTTTATCATTTTTCGCGCAACTTTTCTCCATCCCCCAAAGAAATCATCAAATTAATGCGTCAAAGACATGCAAAAGTTACAATGTCGTTTTTGTAGAACATTTTCAACTTTTTTTAGCTTTATGCGAATTTTCTGAAAAATTCGTTTCATTTTTGTTAGCCTATCAAAAGAAGTTCCTTGCTTTTCACAAAGTTGTCAGGGTTCGGAGGAACCGTATTTATTAGTTACAATAGCTATACTGCTGAAGATAATGCTAAAGGAAGTTTGGGTACCTTTAGCTTCTTTCTTAGAATAGGGCGCAAGATACGGTGAAGATTTTTCCTGGAGCGAGGCTTATATACTTTTTAGAATAAATTTAAAATCTTTTTCAACAATGTTTCTCAAGAAACAGGATCAACCGGCCAACCAGGGTTTCCGAAACTTTGGATTACAAAATCTCCGAATCTCGCACAATGTTCGTTTGTATAAGGAGTTCTTTGGCGGAAGAAAAAACCGATTAGGCGAGAAAAACTGGAAATTTAGCGTAAAAGTTATTTCCTCCCGAAAGTGGCACGTTCCCGCAGAGATCGACCTGACGATTATCCCGGGTGTATATCGAGTCTCACGAAACTCGAGTTAACGCAGGTCAGTTTGCGCCTAGTTCTCTCTCTCTCTCTCTCTGGTTTTGTTCGAGACGAGACCGGATGTGCGTCGTCGTTGTCGTCGGCGATGAGGAACGCGTCGATATCGTTCGCGCCGCGAAAGGAAGCGGCTTAATAGCGACGGGGCGGAAGAACGTGAGGACGTGAGCTCGCAAGCGTCGACCGGATTTTCAGCTCGATACATTATTCGGCGAAGAGGGACGCGGCAAAATTTCGCGCATAAATTCACCAACAATTAGATAAGCGAGTCGCTAATAACTATTCGCGACGACTGTCCTTATACATAATTGACTCTTACCATATTTGATTCTTTTCTTCACAGAAAAAAACAGTATCCTTGAGAGAATGCAAATATGCCTTAATTCAAGTATATTTTATCCTTATAATAGCGCCAAATATAAATAATTTTGGATAAAGGATAATTTATCCTTAAAACAAAGTGCAAAATATTCTTGGTTGAAGCTGAAATTTACTTATAAATATTGCAAGGACAAGTGACAAGTGTGCATCGGATATAAGCGGTACTTTCAAATATATATAATAATTCTTAGTTCAAATGTGACTAAGTTTGTTTTTACCATATGCGATTTTTAAAACAAAAATATATCTTAAGGATAAAATATACTTCACACAAACTTATTTATTATCAAGGCAAATGAAAATTTGTGATTACAAAGAGCATTCTATGCTTAAATCAATCAAATAGCGTTCAAGAATAAAAATATACTTGAATCAAGGATTCCTTTTTTTCTGTGTTGCAATTTATTTCTCGCTAGAAGGAAAAGAGTCCCCTGGAGAGTGTAACCTATCTATTAATTTATTCGCTTTCCCTCTCGCGACTTGTATCGTGCGTTATCGGGTATATGCGCACTCTACACACGTAACGTATGCATATAAAAACGCACACATATATAAGAGCGTATATAAGCGTTGCGCAACGCGGCGATTCTCGATAGGCGGTTCTAACGCCGAGCGGAAATCCGGCGGATTCTTTCGGCCTGCCGTTTTCTTGCCGTTTCCTTTTTTCTCCCCTCCTTCCGTTATCCTTAACATTTTTCTCTCTTTCCGCCGATCGATCGATCGATCGATCGATCGATCGTTTGGTTCGTTCTGTGAATCGGGTTCTGCTCGGCCCGATGACCCGAAAGCGTCGAGTCGCGATAGCGCCGCACTTTTGATGCTCTCTCTCTCTCTTTTCCTTTCCTCTCCTCTCTTTCTATTTCTCGCTGCTCGCTCGGAGAATAGATCTCGGCGCTTTTCACGATTGGATGCTTCTGGCGGAAATAACCTCCGCTGAGTAAAGCACATCGTCTCTTCTTCTTCTTCTTCGCGGTCCTCGCTCCGACCGTGTGTATCGCGCAACTTGTTCATTTTCTTTTGCTTCCTCTTTATCAGGCTGTTAAGCGACAACGGGGGACTGCCGTCTCTGCTGACGCATAATAGAGCGTTTATGTGCAACATTTTCGATACCGAGATGACAGAATTTTACGCGATCCCTATAACGACGAAAGATATTAATCACGTGTATACACCCGGAATATCTAATGCTCGTTTAGGAAATCGTGAAATAAAAATAGATGAGACTCGGAGCTGGATATAACGATGGTGTTAAAAATGTTATCCTGTCGTTTGTCAATGTCGTTCCCATAAAGCGAAAGTAAGAAACTCGAGGAAGAACGAGCGATCAGAGCGAGGTGGAAAAAGGAGGGAAAAAGAGAGAGAGAGAGAGGGAGAACGAGGCGGAGGCCCTTTATCGTAGCAAGTTCAACAACACGCTATCGTGAGGCGAGAAACACGATCAACGTTCGTCCGATTCTCCATCTCCAACACGATGTTTCATCACTCCATCTCCGCTTCTCGTGTGCTTCAATCGAATCCCCACGAACGCACAATTTCATTTCAACCATTTTTCCTCTCCGACTTCACTCTTCGTAGCTCGTAGATCCTGGAAAAACGCGACTATTGTTGAGCGTATCCTGCATTTGGGAGGACGAGGAATCAAAAGTGTCAAAAAAGAGGGATATCCTGAGAATTAGAATGATTTTTTTTTTTTATTTGTGGAATTATATCCAGCTCGTGGGTGAGCGACAGGAACTAGAACACGCTTCGGTGAGCACAAGTCCTCTTCCGGCGGAAAGGCGCTGGTAACCATTCTTCCTTTCTCTCCGCTTCCCTCCCTCTTCACGCTTCCTCTTCCTTCTTCTTGGCTTGCATACGCACCGTGAATTCGCGGCAGATAGGAATTTCAAGCCGAGAGGATATCTCTCTATCGAGAGATATTCAGACCGCGACGTTTCACAATTGTCCGCAATGCACGCGGTTGTTGTTCTCTCAAGTATGGGATAGAGAGAGAGAGAGGAGGACTCCTACGCGCGAAAATTATCCTTCCTGACTTTACTTACTCTCTTCGTCGCGAATCGTCCAAGAGTAGAAAATGTAGCACGCGATTCTATACCGAGATCGTTTGCATCACCTTTTCATTTTATTAGATCTGCAACGAAAGCTGCTTTTTGCTATTTGTAATATTTCATTATTCCTCAGGGAATGAAAATAATCCTACATTTAAATCGGTTTTAATATATACAAGGTAATAATTAAATAAAACAAATAATAAAAAAAGACAAGTACATTACTTTAATTATTTTTCTTTAATTTAAAAACTTTTATTAGAAATAAATTTTGAACGAAGAAAGTGTAGATAAAAGAATTTATTTAAATAGATTTATATTCGCGAAATATGTATTGTATAACAAAAGAAGAAAAAGAGTGTGTAAGAATAAGATTTACAGCTCGCGTACGTGTCTAAAAGATAAAAATACCTCTTCTCGATCCGAAATATTTTCTCTGGTATCTCGTCATTTCGACAGCATCGATCGGAACCGGATGTGTCGAGTTAACCGCGAAAGACCATTTCGGAGCTTAAAAACGGATGGTCGGCACATAGCAAAGGATGCCGTGCGTGCCGCTTATATATATTCTATATATATATATATATATATCTCGTCTGTACTCTCTCCGTTTACTACCACACAATCGAGGAACCGAGCCGGTATCCTTGTGAAAGGACGAACGTTCCGTGTCCGCATTCGGAGCATCGCGAGGGTCTAGCGAGTGATAA